CTTTGTTATGATTTTCCACATTTCAGAATGGTAGAAATTATTGTAATAGTCACAAATTAAGCAGTTTTTAAGAATTATGAATAAAGGTGCAATGTCTATTTGTCTACAAAATTAGACTAGATAAGAAAAATGAGAAAAATAAATTCAGTGAGATGTATCCAATCCCGTTGTCTGTAGGTTTATGATCTGTAAGATATAATAATTGTACCCTTGGGCAATTTGAGCAAATTGTTTTTTCACAGCAACTGTCCCTGAAATAAGTGTCCTAGAAAGACTACATCTGCTTAACCCCTTCCCTCAGAACTTACTGTCCTCCTACAATCACCTTTACAAAATAAATAAATAAATAAATAAATTACTATAAAAGTAAATGTGTATTGTTAGTGTGTTGGTATGTTTAGTAATAAAAACAGAAATCATGCACAAGTTTTTTTTTTGTCCACAAGTATCTTTATTTTTTGTTCTTTAATAATACATTTCCTTTAGGTTTTAGCAATAAAGATTTCACATGCTCTTCTTTCTGTTTCTCCTCTTCCTTCTTCTCCTGCCATCGTTTCATCCCTTCATCCACCTCTGCACTGAGATACTCTGCTCTTCTCTAAATGTGGACACAAATATAAACATTTGAAACATTTCAAGTTTTTCTCAAGTTAAATATAAACAGGAAAAAAACAACAAATCCAAAAATGTAATAGTCTGGTAGATCTGTTAATGGTCCATATTCTGATCCACCACGTGCTTAAACCATTTCTGTAGACAAAATGGGAGCATGACAATGGAGCATATAAGAACCCAAAACACTGACATCAAGATTAACCATTGCTATTAGAATGTAATGTATGCAAACACTTTTTTTCTTCGTATCATTTCCAACACCCTTATTTGTCTTCAACTCAAATACATTAAAAAAATATATACAATTTGTTGATGACAAACTGCAGAGGAAACTCACTCCAGTCTCCACTTCTTTTCTGCAAGGGTCACACACGACCAGTGTTGCCAAGTCCGCGTTTTTTCCGCGGAATTGGGCTACTTTAAAGGAGTCCTATTATGCTCTTTTACAAAGTCTTGATTTTGTAAATGATTGAAAAAATCAAAAATATAGAAACTCTTTGGTCATTTTTGAGTAAGATGCTAACGGTCTAATCAGATTCAATGATCTATGCTAAGCTACAGCTAAAAGTGCTACCGCCAGACCTGGAGATCGGCTGAATGGATTCGAAACGGTAAAACTCAACTGTTTAACTCTAGGGGAGTTGGGAAATGAGCCTATTTTCAAAAATAGTGGAGTGTTCCTTTAACACTGCTACCGGGGGTTGAAGTGACTCCAATAACATGATATTTATCCCCTGGAATGCGAATTTTATCAGGGGAAACCCGCCAAAAAACGTGTATTTTCCCCCCTGGAACCGATTTTTAACTGGGGACCCCCTCGAATTGCCATTGGGCTAGTTTTGAGGAGGGATTGGGCTGGTTTTCTTGTGAAAACCTGGCAACCCTGCACACGACGATGAAAATGGGCGTATAGACTGCCGCGACACTGTGATGTGAAAACAGATATTGCCCATTAAAAACAGAAATGACCCATAAAAAAACTCTGTTCACTCATCAGTTGTTACTTCGTGACAGAGTATTAACACCATAGACATTCATTTGCACGCTGGCTGATGGCGTGCTTTTACAAGAATAATGTTTAAATGCATTCAACAAAGCACGACAGGCTCATAAAACAAATACTCTGCTAAATCTTGACTGCTTCACCTGCGGAACAAAACGTCCTCAAGGATGCTGCCATGCTGGATTCTAACAATTACGGCAAGCAAAAGGTACAAAATAGACACTCTGCACTGGAGTACGGCGACTTATTTCTACCGGTAGATGATACTGTAGTCACATTAAATACAACACAGACTCGCCTGAATCACCTGTTGAATAAACTACACTTAGCTTATTCTCAGCCGTTCTAATCACAGCTTGATCTCAGGACAAAAGATAACAGCCAAAATAAAACAAACGTGTTACAACGTGTAAACTGGGAATTCTTGTGGCTGCCAGTGGTGCCTTTATGTATACAACATGTTTCCTTGTGGTGTTTAAAATAGAATTTTAAATGGTCATTCGAATCGGATCGTTGGTTTTATTTATTTAAAAACTGACTTCAATGACTGACTGATATTCTCGTGCATTTTGCAGCGTTCAGATGAGAAAACCTCTTGTAAAAACACGACACAGAGACGCCTCTGAAGACCGGCCCTTAACACCTTCCGCTTCAATAATAAATTGTCTTTCATTCCTCCAATGCACGGGCTCGAGCAGTGCTGAGTAAGCGCTGAAACATTCCTGCGTGCGCTCCCGGACAAGTCCTCACTCGCCAGTGCGCGATCCCACAAAACCGCAGGAGAAGTATGGCGTTATTTTAATGACAAATGTCGAGAGCGCATTATTGTAGCGCGAAAGCACATTAATACAATGCGCGAGCGCGAATCTCTCCGCTCGCGCGCGGATTTCCTTTGCTCTCGCACAAAACCGGACGCGCGCGCTCAGATAGACGCTGCTCTCGCCCAGAGAGAGTGCACGCACTTAAAACATGTCTCCTCTCACTCAAACTGTGTCCTGTGCACTCTTAAATCTCTCTGTGCTCATGCGCTATAGATATTAATTATTTTCGCACCTGAATTAAACGTTGTCAAAGGTTATCATTATGCACTTTTAAAAAGTAGTCTCAAAACAGATTTGTGCAGGGCCTTTCCTTGATTTTTTTATTGTTGTATTTTAGTTTTAACATAAACTGGTTATTGTAGCTACTTTGTTTTACTATATCTCTTTTATGTTTGTATTTTGATCTTTTCTGCAAATGTACATATGCATCTCTCTGTAAAGTAGGCTACTTTGTAAACACTAGTTTAGAAGGTACTATATAAATAAAGCTTTAACCAATCAGACTTCCACAACTGACCGATGAAAATACTACGTGAAATCTAAATGGCTGAGTGAACTGAACCTGGAATTATTTTGACAATCAAAGATGGATCTTTAATTTCTTTCTAGTTTAATAATATTTAGCAATGTTAATGAAATGTAGCCTATAGAAAAGGCCAGGAATTGGGTGCTTGGATGATTTGTACAAAACCTCTGTCCAACTGGTTGGTCTCTGAGCAATTTATCTAAAAACAACATATTATAGCCTATGGCCCTAAAGACTTTATATAAAACATCAAGGAGGAGGAGGAGGAGGAGAGAGCTCCGGAGGAGGAGGGAGCTCCGGAGTAGGGGGAAAAAAGGTTTTAAACAAAAGAACAGCATTGGGTCTTTTTAGTGTCTCGGTGGGTTTGAATACAGTAACCATACGACAGCAGGTCAGTTGTCACCGGAATTTATGCCACTTGGTAACTATGGAGCAGTGAGAGGCATTTTCCGCGAGGGAAGAAAAGAAAAACTGTTACATTGTTGCGCTCGCGAAAAGCACACACGCAGCCGACTCACGCTGTCCCAGGGAACTTAGCGATATCCTTCCGCACATTCCACAGACTAAAGGCACGGCACGACCAATTAGGCCTTAGGGTTGGAAAAATGACACAGAAAATATGTAAGGTCTTCGAACCATTTACATGTTTACAGGTTTCCGTTTATTTAAACGTCGCTTATTCGAGTTGTCGTCGCGTGCTGCCACATTACGTGTAATAAAACATAAGATGTTATAAACAAATGAGAAACAATTTTATTCATGACCGCATTTTACTTTCTTCAGAGTTTGTTGTCTTATTTACAGACAGTCGGCTCATAAATATTTATTAACTAAACCACTCGTTCTGACCCCTTAGACTAACATAAAGTGTATGTGTCTTTTTTATTTTAGTCATTTGATAAATGTGTGCGATTATGTCAAGGTTGTTTGTGTAAGTCCAAACAGTAGGCTGAACCAATGGGCACAGTCTGTTTAAGAAGTTGGGCTGTGTGACGAAATAGTGGGATGCGATTCATGCGCGCTGCCCGGGGGAAAGGTGTTCCGGTCGGGAGAAAAGCCACAGAGGAAGAAGAAAGGGGGAGGAAGGAAAACAATTGGAAAGAAAGAAACTGTACGTTGAACATTTTAGCGCAGTTTTCCGGCGTAGATTGCGCAGTGCGTGTTTATCTATGCGAATATGTTTGGGTGAGCGATACGCGAACTTCCTCCCTTCGACTCGCTGCAGCTGTTTTTTTTGTTGTTAGTAGCCTACACGCTTTTGAAGACTTCCACTTTTGGGGAATAATGGTCATTTTCTTTCAAGCTGGACTGGGCAAAGTGGAAATCCTGCGGGACAATAGGAGGCTTTGATCTGCCTTGTACTTTTTTTTGCAGAGGAATAAACGCTTTTGAGTTCTCGGTTTGATTTATCCGCACAGAGAAACGTTTTCAACTTGCCTTTTTGAAAGCCGCTAGTTGAGTCAGAAAGGGGCCGTGGTGAATCCCTTAACCTGTGTGTTTAACTCCAACATAATCAAAGGAAACCACGTTGGAATTTATTCAGCATTTAAACTCCGTTCTTATTTTTTAAACAACCGGCAGCGCCGTTTAGATAAATCCACAGAGACAAAGAACCAAGTGGTAATTATAAGACTTGCAAGTGGTTCCGACAACAGTGGGCAGTGGATCAGTGTTGCGGATGTGACAGAGACTCAACGTTTGAATGGATCCGTTCTGCGCGAGTCTGGGACCAAAATTAAAGACTCTTTGAAGCCGGACGGTAGTTTTCACACGTTCATTTGCTCACTGCCGAAGATAAGGCCACAAGTAGCTGCAAAAAGGATCGCAAACAAATGGATGAACATGCTCCTGTTCACACTCATGTCCAGCAAATTTATCTCAAGCAAACAGTTTGGAGACAAACCGTTTGTTTTCAAGTCTAACTAGTACGACATGTAGCCTGCAGAAAATGCCATAGTGTTTTTATTTATCTTCAAAGTTAAATATTTATTTTTGTAGATCATCAAAAAGTAGTTTTTAACAGTTCGTATTTTTGTGGATTTGTTTTTATTTTATTATTATTTTGTTATAGTTTTTGGATGTCACATATCTTTTGATCTGTTATCTCATCTGCTGTTGAAACGCTTGAATGATGCTTGTGCCCACACTGTATTTCACTGTATTTATGTAGTACACTATTTAAACTGTAGTTGTTTTCAGGTGGCATCTAAAAGAAATTCAATTTGTACTTTATATTTTAAGTTGTAGTTGACCTTATATTAAAACACAATGGATCGACTTGGCAGCAAACTGAAGCAAAAGCTCAAACTGAGTGACTCCGGAAGTGTCAAATTCAGCAAAAAGAAAAATGACTTGGCCAATGCAAATAACAACAGTAATAGCAACAATGCCAATAATGGAACCGTGACACAGATCAGCGCACCAGTGAGCACGGCTCAGTTCCCACTCTCCTGTTCCACCGCTGTAGAGGTGTGTGGCCAGTCAGCCGGAAGACCTGGCAAAGTGGGCACTTCTCAGAGAATTGCACCCTCGAATACCACCTCAGCTACGGTACCTGAGGATTGTGGGCCTGGGATTGAACATCACCCGTCTACTCTCGCCCCTCTGCGGCGCCGGTCGCCCCAGCAACGAGTGTCGTGCTACTTACCTGAAACAGTGGAACGAGGTGACTCGCCCAGAGGCGAAGGTGACCCGCAGGGGGCGTACAGCCCGAATTCTCGTGTGGCCTTGAAGCAGCGGCGTTATTCTCTGGAGCTCCAGCAGCTCGTTCGCCGCCAACAGCTTCTCGCCCAGCCTCCTCCACTGTCATCTGTACCACCTCTGTACCCGACACACAGCTCGGCTGCTCGTTCGTCCACCATGGAGCCCAGCTTCCTCCACGACTTAGAGCGTCACAAGCGCTTGTCCCTGCAGGAAGCTCTGTTTTACAAGCGTTTGAGCTCAGGTGGTGAACCTTGGGACAGCGGGCGCCCCGCTTCCCTCTCTCATCCACCGCAGAGGACCCATGACAGCGGCATAGGGGGGTTCTTCTTCCCTCCTGCACCAGCGTTGAGCCCCTGCTCTTCTTTCAGCTTACAAGAGTCCGTGTTGGCAAGCCCTCGTTCCAGTTTTGCGAGCAGTTCCGCAAGTGGAGGAGGTGGAGGTGGCGGGAGTCCCATGGGAAGTCGGTGCAGCAGTAACCGGACCAGCGGCATTAGTTTGGGCTACGACACCCGCCATACACCTGGGCCTGCCCAGCAGCTACAGCTCTCCTCGACCCAACTCGGTGGCACCACCTCGGGTCAGCTGTACCCTGTACAGGTGTTAGGGAAAACTGGAGTGCCCCCTATGGAGGTTTGGAGGGACTGTCTCGAAGGGGTGTCGGGAGTTGGAGGAAGTGTGCACGACAGCCGTCACTCATATCCACCCGCGCTAAGCACACACACTGTCACCTTCCACCGAGCAGAACCAGAATGGGGTCCCCCCCAGCGGGGATCAAGGGGTGACGGCGTGGGCGAGAGGGTGCGACACTCCGACTTGCTAGGAAGCCGATACCAGCAGGAGCTCACCCGCCTGATATTGAAAGATGCTGCCCTGGAAGGAGAAGCGTTACTTGGGGGTCTGACATTAAAAGAACAGCCCGTGCCTGCCACCATCCTATCCAGCTCCGTATCGACTTCAGCCCCAGTCGGAGCTCCAGGGAAATCCCTGGAAGAACAGTCAGCTGGAAGGGAGTCTGTGTCATCTGTGGACAGACAGGAGTACTTCGGTGAGATCACTAACTCATCCAATTTGGCTAGTTTATGACTGATCATGTGTCTCTCTGTCAGTAGGTTGTGAATGTGTGTGATGTGGTGAGATGAAGACTGCTTCAGACCTGCTAAAACATGCAGACGTTCTCTGAAACAAAAAGCAAGACATAAAACGTATCCAGTCAGACTTCAAAAATACATACTAGCCCTCCTTTTTCAGCCCGTTTCTCTAACTAACCATAATAACGAACTCGCAAGTCACAGAGTGAATATATAACCCCTCCACCCAAGGCTACATAGAATTCTGAACAGACTCCAGAGTCAAAAATATCTGCCTAGAGCAAGCATAGTGATTATGCTTGACCCCAAATTACAGGCTCTGTGATACACTGGTCATACCAAAGAGCTGTGAGTAATATAGTAGGACAGAGGCTCGGCTGAAAGGAGGGTTCTGTGTGTGTGTGTGTGTGTGTGTGTGTGTGTGTGTGTGTGTGCGCTTTCAGCCTTCAGCCAGCCACAGATTGAGCGAGGGTGTGTTCATGTGTGTTAGCGTGTGCTGGCGTGTGCTTGTTTAGCTCAGGTATTTGAGTCCTGAGGGAAGGCTCTCTGACACACTCAATTGTGAGGGTTGGGTGTGTGTTTGTGCCTTCTGTGTGTGTACCGCTTTGTTGCGACAAGGAAACCTCCTTGTTGTCTGAAAAGCACCTGTGTAAAGTTTAAGACATTACCTCATTCCGACACATTACAATACCTAATTCCTGTATCCAACAGCCAATTATCCTTTTTTTGAGTAACGAAGGGGTTGCGGAGTACAGATTCATCGGTGTGTGTGAGTACTGTGACAACAAGAAACAAACCCACTGGTTGGTATTATGGGAGAAGAAAGCACGAGTCATGCAGTGCAGACATGTATTTTTGAGTCCAGACAGCTCTGCTGCCTGCGTTTATGTAATTGGTATGATTGGATGATGACCTTATAAACCCAATATATTGTCCTAGATAGCCACTTGAGTTGTGAGTATTGTGAAGCCTCTGATGCATCTGTTTATAGTGTACTCAGACTGTGTTTGTGGTTGTGTTCTTGTTTTCAGGTACATGTGTGAAGTGTAGTAAAGGTGTATATGGTGCAGATAATGCTTGCCAGGCTCTGGACAGCCTCTATCACACCCGCTGCTTCACATGTGTTTCCTGTGGTGAGTTATCAGTATGTAATGCAGTATGTAAAGCTAGTGTTTTAATACCTCTTCATTTGGGTCAGTATCTCTCATGTTGGTCTGAACATCTGTGTTATCTTGCTTTTACTTGTAGGGCGAACTCTCCGCAACAAGGACTTTTACAATGTCAATGGCTCGGTTTACTGTAAGGAGGATTACATGGTAAGGATGACTTCATGTGGTCTTTTTAGTATTCATTTTAGCCAGTGTTAAGGGGTTGAAGTTACTCTGAAATTATTATTTTTATTTTAATGTGTAAAAAAATAAGAAGAAAAATAATATTTATAAATAGTAATACATATTTAATGTTTATTAAAAAAAAAAAAAAAAAAATTGACAGAGAGCAAACACCTTAGAAACAAAAGAATGCATTGTCTGATGGTATAATCATAGTAACATATAATACTGTGGTACCTTGATATATAAGCTGGTACTTGATTCGGGGACACTAAAGTGATTCAAAGAATATCATTACCATTGTATTCAAATGCGCAATGTGCAATGGCAGGAATTTTATCATGGTATATCCAAAGCAAACATTGCTAAGGTACATGTCTAAAAACATGTCCAAATTGAAGTAAATACCTTCATGAAGGGCTGTAAGCCAACTGTACACATGATCATTAATATGAGTAATTTCAAAGATCTACAAAAAAATATATTCTTGGAAAATCAGAGAATACTTCCATGTCTGATTTTATGAGGAAATATCCACTAATGTATTGTAACATAATATTTATATTTAAAGTGTTATATATTTAATATTTCTGTTTTTCCCAAAAAATTTATTTATGTTCTACTTTAAATACAAATCTTAAATATTTTTTATAAATGTTTTACTTAAAAATAAATATTACATATAAAATATTTATTTAATATTTTAAATAATAATAATGATAGCAATAATGATATTTAAAATATTATATATTTCAAGTATATAATATTTTAAATAGTATATCTTTTAAATGTATTATTATTTAAAACATTGCACACTATTTTATATTTAGTATTTCTTTTAAAAAATGCTGTTATATTAATAATCTAATGAATGTTGCATAATTTTCCCAATCTGTCTTCATTACAGTTCTCAGGCTTCCAGGAGGCAGCTGAGAAGTGCAGTGTTTGTGGTCACCTCATCTTGGAGCAGGTAAGTGGTTTCTGCACGAGGTCATTGTCAGTGTTTGAAGGTTGTATAGGTCGAGTGTTAACTCTGTTCATACGTGTAACTCAGATTCTGCAGGCTCTAGGGAACTCTTATCACCCTGGATGTTTCCGCTGTACGGTCTGCTCGAAGGCTTTGGATGGGGTGCCATTCACAGTAGACTACCTCAACAATGTCTACTGCGTCTCTGACTACAACAGGTCTGCTAGTGAGCAGTGTTACAAATGACATGACGACAGTGCAATTTGTCTAACATTAACTAACTGCTCTGAAGCCCTTTTTGCCAGTTTTGTTGCTGTTTAGTTGTAAGCTAAAGAAAGCTAAAAAAGAATAGTTTTATTTTATTTCTTAATTAAAGGCACAATATGTAAGATTTTTTTATTAAAATATCCAAAAACCACTAGAACAGTGTTATATATTTTGCTGACTTGTGTTCTTACATTATCCCAAATGTTTCGAAGAATGTTTAAATCCAGAGAAATAAGCAATTTTAACTAGTGACACGGACCGTGTCTATAGTGTCATTGTGTCGCCTGCCAATGACGATTTCCAGTTTTGTTTTGTAGAAAACATGAAAACACCAAAGTGCTTTAATATGTTGTGCGTTTTAATAGACAGGTGACGACTGCACAGAGTAGCATTATAACAGAACTTTCAAATGTATCTAGTATGATAAAACAGCGCTGCTTTTTCCCCACATACGCACAACCGGAAGGAGTGGAAGCGGTCGACTGTGGGATAATAAAAGCTCCGCTGCTTTCGAGCCGTGTGTCACGTTCGTTCAGCGGCCTCGTTTCGCTTCGACGGCTTTCAGCCTCACCCTGCTTCATACTACTACGTTAATAAATCATTAGCTCATCCATGAACATGATTTCTGCCCGAGTCCCGTCAGATTGCATCGGCTGTGGGGATGAAGACGACAACCGATTCCACACTCAGTCACGGCGTCATCAAACTATGCCATTGTTTCTTTGTTTATTTTGAATACGCACCCTCTAGCGGCGAAAATTACATATTGTGCCTTTAAGCTAAAAGTGTGGCGACAGTGCCATTTATCTCTTAAAAAAACATGCATAATCGTGTTGAAGGTTAATGCATTACATAGTAATGTCTATATAGTGACAAAAATTATTATTATTTTTTTTAAAGAAATTAATACTTTTAAGAAAGGATACATTAATCTGATCGAAAGTGACAGTAAAGATATTTATAATGTTACAAAAGAATTCTATTTCAAATAAATGTTCTTTTGAACATCAAAGAATCCTGAAAAAATTCTATCACTGTTTCCACAAAAATATGAAGCAGCACAGCCGTTGATAATAATGTTTGTTGAGCACCAAATCACATATTAGAATGATTTTTGAAAGGATCATGTGACACTGAAGATTGGAAGTTTTTAAGTGAAATAATAAAAATTCCATCAAATAGTAACTAATTTATTTGAATTTAAATGTTAGCAGCTAATAGTTTTGCTAGTTGATTTTAATAAACGTATTCACAAAATATCTGTCACTCTAGTCAGCTATTAATTCCCATAGTGCCACCTGCTTGCTGTCCCGTTGCTGTTTGAATGCTATATTTACATCAACATCGGGCACATCCAATACATTTGCATTTACCAGCTTGTTGATGTGGATTCAATTTTGTTTTGTTTTTTTCTTCAGGACATTTGCTCCCAAATGCGCTGCCTGTTTACAGCCCATCTTACCTGCTGAGGTAAATGGTTCCCTAGTAGTTTAACAGATGCTTTCAGATCAGTTCAGTAGAATATTTAAGATCTTGATTGTGTGTGTTTCAGGGCAGTGAGGAGATTCTCAGGGTGGTGTCAATGAACAAAGATTATCACTTTGAGTGTTATCACTGCGAGGTGGGTGTTATGGAAAGTGGTTTGGAAAAGATGATTGTCACCATTTTGAGTCCATTTAGTAGCATTTCAGATAAGAGCATATCTACATGTGTTATGGCACAGGCTTGTAATGACTGTAATCCTCTCTTCCTCTTCATCAGGAGTGTGGGAAGCAGCTCTCTGATGAGCCTGGGTCTCAATGCTTCCCTCTGGATTCCCACCTCCTCTGCCACTCTTGCCACATGACCAGAGTGTGCGTCACACATAACCTTCCCCCTCACAACAAACTGAAATGAGAACTAATGTGCCTGATCAACTACTTTGTACTCTCATATGCACACTAGTGACCACTGTAAATTATTGTCTTTCTAATGTCTCTCTCTTCTATGCCAGCTCTATTTTTTTGAAGGGAGAAGAGGGGAGAAAACACTGTTTTCTCTTACTGAGACTTGAGGTCATAGTACATTTCAAATGCAAATCCCAGTACTAGTACAAACTGTATCACCCCCCTAGTGGCTGGGAAATGCAGCAATTGAATCCTGCTGAACAGAAGAATATTTCTATACCAGTTCTCTGAGTTTTAAGATTATTGTTGCCTGCTTATTTCATTGCTCCTGGGAGTTTTATCACAGAACACTGTTTTACTCCCATATCTACTGTTTGCTGTAGGGAAAAAAAGGGATTTTTTTGCTTAACATTTTTCTATATTTAATATCACTAGCAAAGATTTTGCACTTAAACATGTTTACCTATTAAGAGATTTTTTTAAATAAAGTGATTGCAAAAAGATTAAAAACATTCCTGTATCTGCTGTAATTAATAAATCTTTCTCTGTATGAATGAGTGTTATTTTCGTGTGTAATTCACACATTCAATTGAGAATTCAAATTTGGCTGAGAAATTACCCACAAAAATAATTTATAGCCAGTATTGTGTTACATGTTACTTTAATTCGTTTTTTATTAATATGGATTTTTTTTTTCCAGTTTTTTTATTAATGTGTAAATACAAAATTCATTTTAATGAAATGATACTCTAAATGAGAAAATAAAACTGCCAATAGGTGGCGATGTCTTAATGAATAAGTCTGAGTCATTCATTCATTTGATTCGTTCAAACTGCTGATTCATTCAGGAATGATGTAAATGGCTCTTTTTATGAATGGGACACTGAATCATTGGATCACCTGATTCGTTCAAAACATGAATTCATTCAGAAATTGTGTGTGGCTTGGAGACGCCTAACAGTTCTGCTGTGGCATTAATAGGTAATATTTGCATTGGCAAAACTGAGCAAAAGCAGACACTATTGTATCTAAAATATAACACAAATATTAAGTTCTTTTTTACTGAACTGTAGTATAAAATGGTCAACAACAACAGGTCTGTGGATGATGCAGTCAACATGGGACTGCATTGCATCCTGCAACACCTCGACAGACCTGGGAATTATGCAAGGATCTTATTTGTGGACTTCAGTTCAGCCTTCAATACCATCATGCCTGACCTTCTCTCAGACAAACTGACACAGCTCTCCGTGCCCACCTCCATCTGCAGTGGATCACCAGCTTCCTGACAGACAGGCAGCAGCTAGTGAGGCTGGGTAAACTCACATCCAAGACCCTCACAATCAGCACTGGTGCCCCTCAGGTTTGCGTTCTCTCCCCACTGCTCTTCTCCCTTTACACAAATGACTGCACCTCTAAAAACTCCTCTGTCAAGCTCCTGAAGTGTGCAGATGACACTACAGTCATCAGCCTCATCCAGGACAGAGACAAGTCTGCTTACAGTCAGGAGGTTAAAGAGCTGGCTGTCTGGGAGCAGTCACAACAACCTGGAGCTGAACACGCTCAAAACAGTGGAGATGATAGTGGACTTCAGGAGGTACCCCCTGCACTCCCCCCACTCACCATCATGGACAGCACTGTGCCTGCAGTAGATTTATTCAAGTTTCTGGGCACCACCATATCTCAGGACCCGAAGTGGGACACTCACATTGACTCTATTGTTCAATAGATTTTTTTTTTGTTCAATTTATTGTTCAATTAAATTGCATTTAAAATACGTTTTTGGATGTGTGCAGACCTTCTCTTTTGCGCGTGCAACGTTTCACGAGCTTGCTCACCTGATGCCCCCCTCAGTGCTCGCTAAATGCCAACAGCTCGCATGCTCAACACAACCCAGCGTTACAATGTGACATAATTCCAGCCAATCAGAGACCGAGGCTGCTAAATTCTGATTGGCTGCCTTGACAACCAATCACAACATTTCTTGCATTACCTGGACGGCAGAAGTGGGAAAATACAGTGCATGCATAATTATTATGCAAGTTGATATTCTGATCATATTTTTTTCCAAGCACTTGCCTCTGAATATTTAAAAATAAAACCTATCAAATAAACGCAGAAATGTAATGTAATAACTGTAAAGTAATAATCAAAATACTTCATATCTTTGAAATTATTTTAACAAAAACATTCACAACAGAGATGTTCTGTTAAAAAAACTATTGTGCTAAAAAATAAAGACGGGATTACTAATCTTACACACGATTTAGGATGGATAGTATGCACATTGGGATGCAGGCTTGTTCTCCCTCACTGCAAAATAAATACATAAATAAAATGATGTTGGTAACAATGACATGTATGCAAATATAACAGCAAGTGAAGATCTTGGGTGTGACTCAAGAAAGCCACCTGAATGGTTACCAATAAAAAAAAAGCAGTGCATTACAAACAATGACAGACTTGAACATGGGTCCGAATTGAAAAACATTACTTTTAATACTATTGGGCCTGGTTTCACAGACAGGGCTTAGATTAAGACAGGATTAGACCCAAAATAAACAGGACATTTAAGAAGCTTTTATAAATATGCCCTAGAAAAAAAAAAACATTACTGTGTAAATCTTGAGACAAAATAATGGCACTGACATATTAAGATATATCAGTGCAAGTTACTTTCAGTTAAGACAGCTCAAACATGCATTTTAGTCTGGGACAAGGCTTAAGCCTTTTCTGTGAAACTGGGGGGTCAATGTGCTAGGTTTACCTTACTCTTGTCCTCAACTACCCATACATCTTCGGAGGTCTGCAGGTTTAAAGACAACACTTACAATACTAATCTAATGCCACTAGCACAACATAAAAAAGAAGTTACTTTAGTTGTTCTCACCTGATCCTCATGATCATCATCTGAGGACAACTTTCCAAGGCATGTTTTAATGTGTATTGCCAACATTTGCAGAGGCATCACCTCATTACATTGGTAACATGTTGTCTTGGGCATCTTTGAGAAGTGAGGCGAGTCAGGAGCCAGAGGAGAGGTGTCTAATGACTCTTGGAGTGGCACAATATAGAATATGGCTTTCCCACCTGATGACACAGACCTTAACGTTTTTGTAGAATATCCCTCTGCTTCTGGAGGAATTATGACAAGCTTGCGTCTACCACTACCACCTTTTGGGGTAATTAAGAAACAGAATTACATGTTGGCCCGGAGGATTACTGTGTTAGACCAGCTAAAGTCCTGCACACCTGTTGCTTTGTAAAAGAGCCACCCTCCAGAAAGGCCCTCCATCTTTGGAAAGGTTTCAGTCAGGATTCTTGATATCTTGAATAACGGTACAAAGCAAAGCAAACAAACAGCATAAAAGAGGTAAAGGATATAGAACAGGATTAATGGTATATTATAGTTTATGGGGCATTACATTAATGCCACAACACAATGTCCCAAACCATTTCAGTAAACTGTACCTCTGTGTGGTCACTGTCTTCTGGAATTGACACAGTCTGTCTTCCCATCCCTGCTTGGAGAAGTTCAAGTTCCTCATTTGGCAAAGGTGTAATAGTAGTATTTTTTGGTAGCAGGTAAAAATTAAGGGAGATCGTCTTGCTTAATTTACTCTGTTTAGGGACATTTAATGTTCTCTTTTTGCCACGCTTGATATTTGGCCTAAAATATCCTGGAAAAGACCTGTGCGCGCAGAATTGTGGCAGAAATGTAAGCCCATACCCCCCTGCCCAACCTCCAAGAACTTTACACCTCCAGAGTGAGGAAAGAAAACAGCCAGACACAAGAACAGCTTTTCCCACATTCCACCTAAACAATATATAACACATCTCGGGACTGTACATCTGTAATTAACTCATCAAAACTTTCATCTGTAAATAGCACAATTCTGTCTACTGACATTTTTTATTTTCCTCTATATTTTATTACTATATTGCTATTTATAATTTTTTGTTTATTCTCTTTATTATTACTGTTTTTATTACCTTAAATTATATGTATGTCTGCACTTTCTGTACTGGAAGCTCCTGACACCAAGACGAATTGCTTGCGTGTGTAAACACACTTGGAAATAAGCTCTTTTTGATTCTGAAAATCAATATCTCATTCATACTCTTGTGATATTGCTTATATCATATGATATAAATATGAGACTAATACATACAGGAGCGTTTTCCCCCAAATCTCTTTAATTTTAGGGGCACATAACTATAACTGCATTCTATTGGCTACATCACGCAGTAAGTTTTTGACCTGCATCATATTCATCACCAATCAGCTGCACAGGTGTTCGGTTTGAAGCGGCGCTGAGCAGACCGGTCGGTGTATGACATCAAAGTACTGCGAGAGCGAGACGGATCTGCATGCTTTCGAACACCGATTGATCTGCCCTGCTTCAAGCCGAACATAACTTATTCAATATAAGATGGAGTATGTAGGGCGCGGGGTGTGTGCGTTAAAAAAATTAAACGCTTTTCCCCCCATAACTAATTCGATTAAGACAGCCCATATATATATATATACAGTGGTGTGAAAAAGTGTTGGCCCCCTTCCTGATTTCTTATTTTTTTGCATGTTTGTCAAACTTTAATGTTTCAGATCAAACAAATTTAAGTATTAGTAAAAGATAACACAAGTGAACGCAACATGCAGTTTTTAAATGAAAAGCTCAAAATATAGCTCATGTATATATCAGAAGTGCAAAAATGGAAAGGAAAAAAAAAGTACTAGAATGCTCCACAACCTCTCCATGTCTTAAAATACTTTTTCCACACCTGCACCTGGATTTCACTGCTGACCTTAGCAATTCTAATACACAATCTTCAGTCAATTCAGTGTAGCATTCACTCCAACTGCTGCAATGATTCTTAGCATTTCAAGAAAACTTGCATCACAAAAATAGAAACAATTTCCTTCAGTTTGTTTTATTATTCTTTGTACATTCTGCACATTCATAAAGAAAATAATCCAAAAAGAGAATCTTTTGAAATAGATTTCAAAACTACAACATTAAAATAATATTAAAAGGCCTCTTGCTATCTTCGCTATAAAGGTTAATTTTATACCATGTCTGATTCACAGAGTTGAACAATAAACAACTTCATAAGACCAGGGAAAAGAACAGACAAGGGTGGAGAAGAGAATCTAACAAATGAATCTACAGTGTGGTTCATAGCATTGGAATTCAGTAGTAATTTTAATAAACTCAGATCTTATGAAAAACCTTCAGTGAGATCAGCGTCAACAGCAGGACTGACTCAGTTAACTCACAACAGTGGCCAAAACATCTGGATAGGGGACTTTTTAAATTTAACAATTTGGAAATATATTAATTGAATCTGGATACAGTGGCTAAAAAGAAAACAACGAATTCCAAGTCCCATAATTACACAATTAATTAACGACCCAATAGCCTAAAGTGGCACTAGTTTAACTATAAATAAAATTACAAGTGAAGACTGTGGAGAGAGGGAAAATATGACTTACACAGTCTCATAGTTTCTTTTGACTGGAGTTTGTGAGCTATAGAAAGCACAGTAAAACACACATCCATAAGATAATTTTAACTTTGAACATAAACAACATTCAACAGTCCCTTCATTAGGTTTAATCCTGCTTCATTTGAGATTTATGGGAAGACGAAAAAAAAAAAGTTTGATAGTTTAAAACAGTGCTGAGTAACCGAGACGTGTGCTAATGTGCACAGCAGTGAGCGCTTATGACATTATTAGGAAAAATAAAGGTTAAAGGGATAATTCACTAAAAAAAAACAAAAAAAAAAAGTTGCCATTTATTCACCCTCATGTTGTTCCAAACCTATTTCTTCAATGAAACAAAACATGAAACAGGTAAAAAAAAATAAAAAAAATACAAATAAAGTCAATGGGATCCAGTTTTATTTCGACTTCACTGTATGGACAAAAAAGCGGAATAATTTTTTTAAACACCTTGTTTTCCATAAAAAAAAAATTTCAATTTAGGAATGACATGAGGGTGAATTGATGACAATAATTTTTTGGGTGACCTATCCATCATGCATTCATCATCCTTGGAGCTGTCATCATGTGCTGACGACTCTGATCTTACAAACCCATCTCACACACATCCACACTCGTGCACTCAGTGTCGTCTGTCTCTGGAGGTGTTGCTACGGCTCTGTGAGCGTCTGCTCCCCCCTGCAGTTTTGGAGTCGCTACCGTAGACTCTGTGGCTGTCTCTCCTCTTTTCTGCCTCTCTGCCCCTTTCTCTCTCTCTTTCCTTCCCTCTGTCTCTCTCCCCCTCAGTTGAACGTCTCACAACACCTGCATTCCCACCCTCTCGGTCACGTCCTTTTGCTCGCTCTCTCCGTTCTTCTTGTTTTTTGTCCTGTTCCTCCTGGAGTTCCTTCCTCCTCTTCTCTCGCTCCTTTATGCGCTCAGCACGCTCCAGAGCTCTTTGTGTCGCCTGGGAAAAAAGCAAGGGCTTAATTTAAGAAAAAGGAGAGAAGAAAAAAATAAAAAGTGCTCCGTGTGACTTAGACTAGAGGAAGTCATCCTAACCTGTTCATCTGTGAGGGGTAACCAGTATATACAGGGAGCTGCTTTAGTTTTGTGGAACAGGTCATCAAGAAGCTTTACAGGAGGCTCTTCTGGTTTATCTGGAAAACAAAGGGGGAGACAATGTCAAATTATGTCAAAATAGAAAAAAATTGACATTAAACATTTCACAAGATTTAGTTTTCCTCACCTTTCTTCTCTGTTCTCTTCTCTTTGCTCTTGCCTTTCTCTCTGCGTCTTCGCTCCCGCGATCGTGACCTTCTCGTTCTGTCTCGGTCATCCTTCCCGAAGTCCTTGATTTTATCCCGGTCCCACTCCCGCTCAGAACGAGTCCTCTCTCTCCTCTCCATCGCTCTTTCCCTCTCTGCCCACTGCTCTCTCACAGCTAAAGCTCCTCCTTCTCGCTCTCTTTCTCGCTCCTTCTCTTTTTCGTGATTTGCAGGTGGAAGTGGGTGATGGGCGGCAGGGCGGGCTGAAGTTCCTGAGGCGTGAAGGTCATGACCTTCAACTGCGCGGGCACTGGACACCAGACCTTTATGGAAGTCCAACTGGAGACGGAACAAAATACAACAGAATGAGAAGGGTGCAAAGTTTGATTATAATATGGGACCATGAGAATGCCTGACAGCAAAGAAAGCAAATGAGGTAGATTTGAGCAAACTTTTCAGACCTCATCCTGCTCGCAAAAATCCACACGTAGTACTTTGGGATTACTTGTAGGCCATTTCACACCATGCAGTGCTTCTCGAGTGGCCACAGCTTCCCCTACAGTGGAGTACTGAGAGAGAACATGACAGAATGGAGGTTAAAAGAAAACTAAAGGCATCATGTGGCACAATATAATATCTCTAATGAACAATGAGATTATATCACAAGAGAATAAACAATACAAAATGAATCAAATACACTACTGTTCAAAAGTTTGGGGTCAGTACGATTTTAAGTATTTTTTTAAGATTTATTTTTCATACAAGTCTTATATGCTCACCAAGGCTGCATTTAAACAAACATACAGAAAAACACAGTTATAGTGAAATATTTTAATATTTATCTATTTAAATATTTTTCACAATTTTCACCGTCATTTTTGGTCAATTTGTGTCCTTGCTGGGAAAAAAAATTTCTTTCAAAAACAAAATTTTACTGATTCCAAACTTTTGAACTGTAGTGTAATCATAGAAATAATAATAATAATAATAATAATAACAACAACAACAACAATTATAACTTACTGTGACATAGCAGTGAGATTTGATCTTATCGATCCAGAAACCCTCCTCCACCAATTTACCTGTCTGATTTAACAACTCCTTCAACTGCCCTAAGGTGAAAGGTCGCACCTACAGAGAAAAAGTTCAGATCAGGGGTCAAAAGAGCAGCAAAACCTCTAGACTCAATCTCAAAACACAAAACATATCTGATCTCAAGTACTATGTTGCTCAGAAGAAACTGAAGAAGTCAGGGGCAATATTCAGTGTTTCCCATACATTGGTTTTCCAATGTATACACTGTAGATTTTCCAAAAGGCTTTGACTTCATTGAATAAACATGATCACTGTACGTTTCAAAGTCAAAACGCGGCACTGGTGTTTTTATATGAATGTATCTTTGTAGGGAACCGATTGTCTTCAGAAAAGTTTTGATGTCATTTTCATTTAATATTTCTTATAATGCCTGATAAAATAGCGTTCATGAGCGCAGCACTGCTTTGTTTACAGCCGTTACCGGAGTAACTGCTATTTCCGCTGCTCCTAAAGCACCTCCTGCTGGCAGAGAGTGAATTAGCATTTTCAACGAGCCCGTCTGCGGTTTTATATTTACATTATATACATGTATATTTCCCCCGGGGGAAGTGCCGCCACACATGGAGTGCAAGTCTGTGGGAAACACTGATATTCATACAGTCAAATTATTTTATATACAAATTACATCCCAACATTATAGTGAGACATTGAGCAGTGAAATGAGCAGCGTAATCTAGTGCTTACCAGGTTGTAGACGTGTATGATGTTGGAGGTTTTTCCACGAGGAGGAGAGAGCTGGCGACCCGTCCGTATGGGATCATCAATAGTTATGGACACGCCTGATTTCTGCTGACTGATGGAGCGGCGCACCAAAGAATCACTGGGAGTGACTGAGAGAGAAAAAAACAATTATAATCCTGCTTGAAATCCCCCCCAGAGCTCTTTTAAAATATGTTAAGATTATTTTAAATGAATCCAGCAAATCATGGATGGTCACCTTTCTTGGACTCGCCGTCCTGTATTTCCATGGAAGCATCAGGGGAGCTCTCCTGTTTCCTTTGTTTTTCTGTTTCTCCTTTAGTCCACTTCTGCTCTTCTTCTTCATCCTCCTCCTCCATTTCTTTCTGCCCATTCTCATGTCCATCAAGAGGAACAATCTGGACCAAAGTTTAGTGATACAAAAACGTTCACTGAATAGCAGAGGTAAACGGTGAACTTCAAAAGACGATGACAAAATGCTTTCTTACAAAAAGATTCACTCCTAAATCAATAAGCCATTTAACTTTTTTTAAATGATTTAAAGCATGTTTAAGTTATTTCTGCTGTATTGTGCAGCAGTCTTATGCACTGGTGTTCATAGTACAAAAGACAAACCTTAAAGGGATAGTTCACCCAAAAAAGAAAACTCTGTCATCATTTACTCGGCCATAAGTTATTCCAAACCAGTAAGAGTTTCTTTCTTTTGTTAAACAAAAGATATTTTGAAGAATGTGGATAACCAAACAGTTGCTGGTCTCCACTGACTTCCACAGTATGGGAAAAAAACAACAACAACAAATACTATGGAAGTCAATCAGGACCAGCAACTTATCTTTTGTTTTAAGGAGAAGAAATAAATTCATACAGGTCTGAAACTTGAGAGTAAGTGACAAAATGTTCATTATTGGGTGAACTATCCCTTTATTATTTGTTTTGTCAGCTACCAGTGCTCACCTGTGTCACCGTGCGTCTGATCATGAGGCCCTGATCCTCCTCTGGTTCCTCTTGCTCACGAGGCCCGGATGAGTCCTCATCCCCAGAGAGACGCCCCTCATCTGGATGCAGTTCGACCACCGCCTCCTGTAGGGGCTTGATGTCTGGAATTAGTGTCTGTAAGAGTTTTGTAGTTAAGTAACAGTGCAAAGTTATGTAAAACGTAGTACGCAGTACTATTACACATAAAACTGACAATTAAATTCAGTAATCAATTATGTCCATACTATACAAAGTCTATATATTTAAGAGTTAAATTAAACCTGAGAATACAGCAACATTGAACCTGTACCACTGAATTTCAGGCTGTCAAAAGCAGGTAGTGATTCATCATGTATCTGTTAAGGTAATGTGGGAGCGGTCTTGGATAATTTACCTTCAGCGATTCAGTGGTGATGCTGATTGACGGCTTCTTGGCAGTGACTGCTGTACTAGAACCCCACCTTCTTTTCCTGCTGGCTCCACCCACTGGCTCTGCCTCAGATGACGCAATTTCCGTTTTACCTAGTGCCAAGGAAAATGTATCACAAAATTGCACAACCTAGAAACAGATCCAGCTGTAAATGACCGGTAAAAGAGCATAACAAAGCATATAATTCCTAACTGACCCTGTAACACTTTTTTCATTGGAACGGTACTGCAAATTAATTCAGCTTCTTTAAGCATACAAGAGCATGCTTTATGCATTATGCACATCACATGACGTTGCAATGGACTGGTTTTAGTGAAGCCACATGATGGGACAGATCCATTTTGGTGGAATTTAATTTATTTTGCACTCTAGCCAGAGTTATTTTCACTTTGAAAACTACTTGGTGAGGACAGTATCCTGCCCAATTTACTGGTTAATGTTCTAGATCAACAGGCTTTTTTTTTTTTGGGAGGAAACACACAGAATGGGCTGCAGCAACCTGTCAGTGGACAAACGGTAAAAAAAGAAGTAACATTTTGAAGACACTTACTGGTCAGAGAGATCTTGCGGGCTGCAAACGATTTTACGGTGGAGCTCTGAAATGAAATAGAGAGGAGGAGAAACAAGATCCCAGTGGATGTGTGGAGGAAGAGAGACACAAAAAAAAAAAAAAAAAAAAGACTTTGATCTTTACAATTAAGTTTGTATCGTTTTATCAACTCCATATTATCATATAAGTCCAATATATTTTGGCTT